ATTTTTATGTTTTTGAGAAGGAGTCTTGCTCTGTCGCCCAGGCTGGAGTGCAGTGGCCGGATCTCAGCTCACTGCAAGCTCTGCCTCCCGGGTTCAGGCCATTCTCCCGCCTCAGCCTCCCAAGTAGCTGGGACTACAGGCGCCCGCCATGACACCCGGCTAATTTTTTATTTTTAGTAGAGAGGGGTTTCACCATGTTGGTCAGGCTGGTCTTGAACTCCTGACCTCAAGTGATCCACCCACCTTGGCCTCCCAAAGTGCTGGGATTACAGGTGTGAGCCACTGCGCCTGGCCAGAAAGTATGATTGTTTTTTGTTTTGTTTTGTTTTTTTGACATGGAGTCTCACTCTGTTGCCCAGGCTTGAGTGCAGTGGCACAATCTCAGCCCACTGCAACCTCTGCTGCCCAGGTTCAAGCAATTCTCCTGCCTCAGCCTCCCAAGTAGCTGGGATTACAGGCGTCTGCCACTGCTCCTGGCTAATTTTTGTAGTTTTAGTAGAGACAGGGTTTCAGCATCTTGGCTAGGCTGGTCTTGAACCCCTGACCTTGTGATCCACCTGCCTCAGCCTCCCAAAGTGTTGGGATTACAAGCATGAGACACTGCGCCCGGCCCAAAAGTATGATTCTTAACAGACAACTGTGTTGTAAGAATTATTCAACTAAAAGGTGACAGAAAAAATTAGAGTCATATTTTGAAATTAAAAACATATAAGCTGTAAAACGTGGGAGAGAAGAGGATAACTCTTCAAAAACATTTTTTATCAGATTTTTAAAATCAGATTTTCATCATGAGTATATTCTTTAAGGGAGAAATTCAAATTCAATGGAAATAATGTAAGAATATTTCTTTAACTATACAATATCCTCTAGTAACTATTTACATAATAATTAAGAATTAGTCATTGATAGCTCTCCCACAACACTAGCAAATTTGTTTGGGTATGCTTTGGGCCACACCCTCCCAAGAACTGAAGTTATAATATATTCTATGACTTCACTAAATATGTTCTTTCACTCCATTCCAGACATGAATTTGTTTTTTCCACTGCTGCTCATGAATGCTCAGATCCCAGCAATGATGAAAGAAGCAGGTTTTATAATAGCGAAAGAAAACAAAGTAGTGAAGCATCTTTTATGAGAGATAAACAAATGCATTAGTTAAACCTGTGTTTCTGCATCACTGAACCAGGCAAAGACAGAAACTTTACTGGATCCAAATGGGATAAGGGAGACCTTTAAAGGATTTAACAGTGAGGACAAATAAATCATAAAAGGAAACAACCAAAACCAAAACATTCAGAAGAGGTCAAAGTCAGAGTTGAAAAGAATCAATGAAGTAGCATCTGAATTTACTTAGATTTTAAGGTAAAGTAACAATGTAATTTATCATTCAAACTGGAACACCAAGACACTTAATAATTATGATGGGACAACAGAAAATCAGGACATACGGTCATCCTATTTCATAGGCTGCTGCTTCACTGATGATGAAAATCAGTGCATACTGAAATATGAACGTAGCCAAAGTGCTGGCATTAGTGAGCGTCTCTGAAGTGCTAGGCGCTCCTGTGGTCTGGGTGTAATGGTGAGCAGATCGGCCCTCAGAGAGCTTACAGTCTAGTTAACATGGGCATGAGCTTCCGAGGGTCTCCTAATAAACCTCTGAAATTAAATAAAATTAAGATCCAAATGATGTATGTCTCTTTAAACCTGATGGCATGCAAAACACTGTAACAGGTCCTAAGAGAGATACAAAGAAGTCGAGACAAAGTCTCTTTCTTAAGAGGTTTATAATGTACTCAGGGAAAGAAGATCATGTGTAAGCATGTGTAAAAAGTTAAATTTCCATGTAAGGCTTAAATATTAATTTGAGGTAGCTGGGGAAGAAATGTCATAAGGTAGTGTATAATTAATTGAAAAATTGTTTGTTTATTTATTTATTATTTTTAGAGACACAGTCATGCTCTATTGCCCAGGCTGGAATGCAATGATGTGATCATAGCTCACTGGAGCCTGAAATGCCTGGGTTCAAGTGATCCTCCCACCTCGACCTCCTGGGCAGCTAAGACTACAAGTGTCTGCTACCACAGCTGGCTGATTTTTAATTTTTTTGTAGAGATGGGGTCTCATTATTTTGCCCGGGCTTGTATCAAACTCCTGGCCTCAAGGGATCCTCCTGCCTTGGCCTCCCAAAGTACTAGGATTAGTATGTGAGCCAGCATACTCAGCCAAAAAAATTAATTTTAAAGAAGTCATGACTAAAGGAGTTACTAGAAAAAGAAGTTCCTAAGTCAAGTGTGGCAGGAGAGGCTTTATGGAGAAGCATCTGTCCTGATCTAGATCAGGTGGGATTTGGGTAGATGGAGAAGAGAAGGAGGGAGAGACGGGATGTGAGAACCTAAGCTCAGAGGTAGGAGCATGTGGGGCATATTTGAAGGACTCCAAATCAACCAGCTTGTAGAGACAGGGCTGAAAAGATGGTTGACTCTTATAAACAGTTTCCTCAAAAGGTTTTTTTAATCTTAAAAGCCGCAGTAGAAGCAGTAGAACTACCACCACCACCAAAGCTTTCATTTGTGATGGGCAATGGATTATTCAAATACCTGGAGGTGTCCTACCTTTTCCACAGTGCTGGTAACCTCCCATCCCCTTTTGGCTGCCAGTTTTTTGAGGGCCTCCACATTGCTGTCACTCAGGGATGCCTAGAATAGAAATATTTTTAAAGCTATGTGTTCAATACATGGATGTGTGATCACATATTTTCTGCTTTAAAAATGGACACTGTTGGAGGAGGTATGTGTTGAGTCCCAGTGATAATGTTGAGTTTAGAACTAAACTACAGGCCGGGTAAAGTGGCTCAAGCCTGTAGTCCCAGCACTTTGGGAGGCCAAGGCACGCAGATCACTTGAGGATAGGAGTTCGAGACCAGCCTGGCCAACATGGTGAAACCCCATCTCTACTAAAAATACAAAAATTAGCCAGGTGTTGTAGTGCAAACCTGTAAACCCAGCTACCTGGAGGCTGAGGCAGAAGAATCGCTTGAACCTGCCACCTGGAGGCAGAGGTTGCAGTGAGGGAAGATTGCGCCACTGCACTCCAGCCTGGGCGACAGAGTGAGACTCTGCCTCAAAAAAACAAAGAAACTAAGCTACAGCTAACATATAATTTTTATCTTGAACCCTTAATTTAGAATTCAGACAAAGTAACTGTATACTTAACAACTGGGTGTCTATCATTTTAGTTGGTGTCCTGAGCAAAGACAGACTACCTTTCAGTATGACTGATAATCAACATGTAATAAGTAAACTTGGATTTCTCTTTACATTTAATGGTTAAAAATATTCAAATGATACTACTTTGTTACTGTTTTTATAAAAATGCAAGTGGGCACACGTCACGGTGAGATGCCGGATGGGACTGTGCCATGCTTCTGGAACATACCTGACGGCAGAGCATCCTGAGTCTGCAGTTTGGGAACTGTAAGAAGTCAAACAAGGCTCAGCTGCCGACTGGTAAGCAGTAACTGATAGCCTGGTTTCGTTTCATTTTGACATGACTGGCTGATATAATCCACCTTGTCACATAGCCTGTGTAGGCACAACCTAAGCCAGTTAGGCCAGGTGATTTCCATTTTTGTAATGATAAGACTTTTATATGAAGAGCTCCAAATCATAAAACGTCACCTGCTTGCTGATATCCCAGTGTATGCAAAGTGGAACCTCTTCTTTGTGGGAAATAACATATTTCCTGGAAAAAAAATTAAAATGTTAAATGAGAGTTTTTTTTTTCTCTGCATTTAGCACACAACAATAACCATAACACTTTCTTGAACTTCTATCAGCCATGGATATCAGTGGAACAATGTGGAAGAACTATTTCCATAAGTCAGTAATCAGCCTTTGCGGCCAGGAAAATCAGACCTTCTCTTTTTCTGTTATGTGGGAATGGAGACCCGGAGAGGGGCTCTTGTATAATTTGTCAGATTAACGAAGACTCCATAAAATCATTACACCTTATGTTCCTTACCTGCCTAGGCGAATTCTCTTGCGTGCAATAGCTCCCCGATAGCGTCTAAAATCATCCTTTAATCAAAAACAAAATCAAATCAAATAAAATAAATCTCTACTATCTTAGTGTTATAATCCTTAAGTATCCTTCTCCTAAATCAGTCAAAAGGGCTAACTGGGATGTGGCATCTCTCCATGAACTGACTTCATCAAGTCAGAGCCTCTGTGCTGAATCCACAAAGGGCAGTTGCACTGACAAAGGTGTAATCCTTCCAGTTATTTTCTTCCTTTTTCAAAAGTGGAGATTATTAACATTTCTATTACCAGAATTGTACTCAATTCTCACTACAGAGTTTTTAGAAAAAATTAACATTGGCGATCAGGTAATTTCGGGATGAGGGAAAGATATGGTTCCCATGAACGTGGCACAGCATCAAGAGCTAGAGGTAAGGAAGTGAGAGAAGAGACCTAGAAATAGGACACAGAAGGTGACATCCTACCCACAGCAGTGTGTGGCCCAGTAGGGGTGAGGTCTTCAGGGCTTCCATTATTTGAACAAATGATCAGAGTGCTCGGGGCGGGGAAAGGAAAAGAAAAAAGCCCACTTCACTTTGTGATGCTGAAAAGAGAAAAAAATCAAAGGCAAAGAGCCAAAGAGGTTGTTGCTGGTGGTGGGAGATTCTGGGTAGAGCTCTCTGTTCACAGGTCTGGCTATTGAACCTCGTGTGATAATAACTGACCTTTGAAATGGGTTGAATTCTGGGAAATGTGATGAGATTTTCCTTATCATCAGCAGCATTGTAAATGAGAAAAGCACTGTTGATGTGACGCCCTCGGCCCTCAGCCCATTCCTGACAGTCAAAGGCCTCCACGCGAACTCCAACTTCAACACTGTGAAGGGTGACGCAGGGCGGTGGGCAAAGAGGATCTCGACCCATTAGGCCCTCCTTGTCCACTGCCGCCACCTCCTCCAAGCAACAGGAGGATAAGGGCCTGAGTTTTCTTCTTTGTCATCAGCAAATCTGTGCAACTATTAACATCCATTTTCAGGTCAATGGGCTGCTTTTTACAAGCCCCTAAGAGCATTTCCATTTTACTTCCCCACTTTCAAGTGGGAAAAAGGCCAGAAAGGGCTTTATATACATTCATAAACGTATTTTGGCAATGTGGGGGAGGGCTTAAATTGTGCCAAAGTTAAGTTTTCTTCCCTAAAAACAATAATTATGTAATTAAAAAATAAACACTGCAATTAGACAGGAAACACAGATATTCTTCTTACATTTAAAAAGAAAAAAATACTAAATCAAATCTTTTCATTGTGTACCAAGAATAATAAAAATAACTGGGAAGTGGTTTGGATTTCATGGTGGTAATACCAGGTCCATTATGAGTTGATTGACCATCTAGTCACTGGGACTGGAAGGAAAAGTTAATAATTATGCAGGGATGACAGGTACAAACCAGGTCCAACTTGGGCCAACTGGGACATACGGTCACCCTTATAAGACAAAAACCAATCTGTCACAATTTACTAATTGTGAGAAGGCCCCAAGCAGAACAAAGGGTTAAACATGTGTTCATGGATTTTGAAAATTGCATGAAAAAAATGGAATTTTGTTAAAGTAGTTCCTATACTCACCTCCAGGCTGAAATTAAAAATTACATTTGTGCAAGTTTAAATTTCTTCATAGCAGTCTAAGGGCTCACTTTACCAGGTCTGAAATGTATTGTTGACAATGGCAGTGAAGACAAGACGATCTCCAACTGTAGATGGCCCCCGGAACTTAAACATATCTATGGACTTCAGAAAGGGATGTGCCCAACACAGGCGGCTGGAGAGACAAAGGGAGGGAGAGAGAAGAAAGCGATCACTCGTTCATTCATTGAACAAATACAAAGACAAGTCTTCAACCTATTTTCTAAATAAGCATTTCTTTAAACTTGACTGAAATAAATAACTGGCTTATGTATGTTGAGGGTAGGTCTGCACGATACCTGCCAATATCTTGGGAAATACCGGGTCCCCGAGTAGTGGGGTCTTTACCCAGATGTTGATGCTTCTACGCCTCTCGTAACAGTCCTACTCTTGTCTCATTTCCTAGGGAAGTCCCTTGGAACAACAAACCAATGCTTTTTGTTCTAATTTGAATTATAGTCATCTGGATAGCTCATGACTGCAGTCTCAAGAAGTTGTGATCTGGGTTGAAGTGGGGCCCAAGTGAAGGCAGGTGCCCTCACACAATTCCTCAGCTTCACAGTTAATCAAATTCACCCACAGATCAAAAGACAAGATTTTCCCCCCAGAAAAGTTACCTGGATTGCTACATAAAGCCTGAAAGGCTAGGAGATACGTATTTTATGATTTTTGTGTGTATGACATGTTGAAATAGTTATATATAATATTTAATTTCAGAAAGTTACTTTCATAATTTTCTACATTTTAGATTCCCACTGTCATCATTCAATTACTCTGTGCCAACGCCAAGTGAACAGATGCTGCCATAGTTATATTATAAGCCTTTACAAAGAACATGTTCAATTGCTTTACTGTCATTAAGAATGACAATCTCATTTTAAAAACAAACTCACTTATTTGTGCATGATTTTTAGAAAGGATAACTACAGGTTTCTAACTATAGTCATAACTATAGACATATCAATAATAAAATTATTTTAATTTGAGGGAAATACAACCTTAGCAATTTTCAATGGTTATGAAAATTGTCAGAAGGGCAGATCCTATTCAAATGCATTTCCAGGGTACAGAGTGTTCCCTAAAGTTGCTCAATTACCTACATCTTTCCATTAAGAATAAAATAACCTTTTTGAAATCGAGGAGTCTTTAAAAGTATTCTAGGCCAGGCACGGTGGCTCACGCCTGTAATCCCAGCACTTGGGAGGCCAAGGTGGGCGGATCATGTGGTCAGGAGATCGAGACCTCCTGACGGGGTGAAACCCCGTCTCTACTAAAAATACAAAAAATTAGCCAGGCGCGGTGGTGGGCGCCTGTAGTCCCAGCTACTCGGGAGGCTGAGGCCGGAGAATGGCGTGAACCCAGGAGGGAGAAGCTTGCAGTGAGCAGAGATTGCGCCACTGCACTCCAGCCTGGGCGACAGAGCGAGACTCCGTCTCAAAAACAAAAAAAAACACACAAAAAACCCAAAAAAGTATTCTAAATATTCTCTTTCTTCTTTTCCTATTTTTCAGTTAATTCTTTGCCCATAATTATTTTTAACCAGCACCTTTTAAAGTCAGACCTAACTGTAAATTGTCTTTGAAAAGGTTTGTAACTGACTGACTTTATGTATTTACTTATTTATTTATAGAGAGGCTGGAGTGCAGTGGTGTGATCATAGCTCACTGCAGCTTTGAATCCCTGGGCTCAAGTGATCCTCTCACTTCTGCCTCCCAACTAGCTGGGACTATAGGTGCACACTACCACACCAGCACATTTTTTTGTAGAGTCAGGGTCTTGCTATGTTGCCCAAGCTTGTCTTGAACTCCTGGCATCAAGCAATCTTCCTGTCTCGGCCTCCCAAAGTGCTGGGATTATAGGTGTAAGCCACCATGCCCAACCTAGACTGATTATTTTTAACTGTGAAGCCTGTCTTCTAGTTCTATTCTGCATTTACTTTGTCATAAGCTATCAAGACAACGAGTTGTAGTTTCATAAGATCAATATTCATAATTCAGAATAAAGTATTAAAACTGTCATCTCATTTTTATTTTTGAACCAAATATTTAAACATTCACCTTCAAACAAAAGGACAGATTAATCCTAAAGTAAGCAAGTAAATGATTTAGAAATCATTATAAAAGGCAACATTTTCCTCAGTCTTTTCCTTGACTTCTTGAGTAGCCCAAGAACTGGATCTCAGTCCCTTTCTATTTTCTCCTCACTGGTCCCAAAATCATATGCCGAAGGTCAAAACTAAGAACCTTGCAGAAATAGTAGCCACCGTCTCCATCCAAGCCATAATCTGGCCACCGAATGTATTTCCGTGATGGTTTGCGTGGGGTGGGAGGACCAGTTCAATGCTCTGAACAGAGGTGCCCCTTGTGGAAACCGCTCCTTCCTCTTCATCAAAAAGGAGATCTGAAAGGTGGATGTAAACATTAATGATGGTGGAGTGAACCATAGGCCCTGGGGCTCCAGCTTTTCCTTCCCAGCAGCACATTCAACTCGGATTTATAGAAAAATTAAAGTGTTCTCAAAGGCTTAAGACTGAGCAAATTGACAGGTTCTACAGAGTGACTCTTAATGGTGAATATTTGCAGTGAATTGGGTTAAGATAACATCAGAAAGGGCCTTTAGAGATCGTATTCTAGCCTATAAAATAAGTCTACTGGAATGTTGATGGAAAGAATGGTTACACTGAAACTTGAGTTGTTCGTGGTGGGGTAGGGACAGATCAGGACAGGAAGGGGCAGAAATGTTGGGGGTGATGGATATGTCATTATCTTGATTGTGGTGATGTTTTCACAGGTGTAAACTTCCGTCAAAACTTATCAAATTGTACGCTTTAAATATGGGCCATTGCTTGTCAATTATACCACAATAAAGTTGTTAAAAATAAAGGAATCTGAGCTACGAAGGACCAGAGACACCAGAAAGCTTGAAACACTACCTTTAGAATGGAAATATGGCCTGCTGTGGAAACTGTTTGTAATGATTGCAGTCACAAGCAGGAAAGACACACTCTGTTATACTTCTTCACATCCTTCTGCTTTCGTTTTTTTTTTTTTTAGACGGAGTCTCACTCTGTCATCTAGGCTGGAGTGCAATGGTGCAATCTTGGCTCACTGCAACCTCAGCCTCCCAGGTTCAAGCAATTCTTCTGCCTCAGCCTCCCGAGTAGCTGGGATTACAGGCGCATATCAGCATACCTGGCTTATTTTTGTATTTTCAGTAGAGATGGTTTTCACCATGTCGGCCAGGCTGGTCTCGAACTCCTGACCTCAGGTGATCCGCCCTCCTCGGCCTCCCAAAGTGCTGGGAGTACAGGCGTGAGCCACCGTGCCTAGCCTTTCTGCTTCTTTTGAATATCTGCTCCATTTACTAACAAATTGGTTTTTACTCTTAACAATGGAGAAATCTGACTGCAAAGCAGTAAAATGTATTCAATTATGCTTTTTGCATCATGAAGTGAACCACCAGCTAGGTTTCCAGCTCACATGCTATTGTTGGGGACCACGGGGAAAGGATTTACAACTTGGGGCACCATCCTGGCTGTACTGTCAGAGGCAGAGCTGAGCTTGCAGTGTGAGAGGGAAGATACACCCAGCAACTGTTGGTGCTCTCAGCACAGTCTCCGCTGGTGATCCGGAAGTGTAGTCACAGAAACCCTTAACTCCACTTCCTAATATAATTTTTAGATTTATCATTAATTGATGGTCTCTTTTATTTTTTCTTATTTCCATTGATCATTTCAGTCCCCAGCTTAAAATAAATGAGTAGCTACCCATTGTTTTCATATAAAACCCCAAATCCTTCCCACGGCCTGCAAGCCCTGTCTTCCTGGTCTGGCCTCACTCTCCCTCGCCCTTTGCTCCAGCCACACTGGTCTTTTTTCACTTCCTGAGGAAGTATTATCTTCAACAACAGGGCGTTCGTCACATCCCTGCTGTCTACAGCAATCCCCCTGGCCACCACCACCTGTGTCTTCAATTTCACTCATACTCTGTGGCCCCTGCTTGGTCATCACTTCCTCAGGGGAGCCTTCTCTGACCTCCACACTCAGCCTCACCTTCAGGATCTCCTGAAGGATCTTTCTTTCATGGCTATAGTTTTATGTTATTTGTGTGCCCTTTTATTATGTGACCCACTAGATCCTAAGCTTTTTGGTGCAGGGACTATGGATTTTTAAAATTCTCATATAATTCCTGAACATAGGTGCTTAATAAATATTTATTAAATGAAATGAATGAATAAACAACTTAGCTGATTTCCTTAACATTCATAGTCCTTACTCTCAATAGAATATTTTTAGGTAATAAAATAGTTGTACTGACACTTCTGTCTGCTGTTGATGAGAGTCCCCACTGGTCCCCATTTTTGCTTAGAAGTATCAGACACTCAACTATTTCCAGTTTGGTGGGTGTGGAAGAGTATCTCATGTTGGTTATAATTTGCATTTTCCTGATTACTAATGAGTTCCAACATCTTTTTACATGTATATTAAGCATTCTTGTCACCTCTTCATGAAATGTCTCTTTATATCATTTGCTTCATATATTGGTTGTCTCATTTCCGGAGATTTTTTTTGAATGTTAGACATTTCTCTCCATTCTCCACATCTCCTAACCTCCCTTACACATTTCCCATTTCTTTGTCTATCGGGCTGCATTCTAGTTAACTCTATCAGATCTATCTTCCAGTTCCCTGTCTTCTCTGCTGTTTCATTCATTCACTAAGTTTCAAATTTTAATTATTATATATTCTTTTTTATAGAAATTGTCTTTCTTTGTTAAACCTTCTAGGTTATCATTTTTTTTTTGTTCTTGCATTATACTCTTGATACTCTTTTATTTCTTAAAACATATTAAGCCTCTTACTTCATCTTACTTGATAAATTCATTATCTGCTGTCTTTGTGGGCCTCGTTCAGACTTTGTGGGGCCTGGTGTCACTTCCAGATCTTGGTGCTTTGCTTATTTCTGTCTCTTATGATTTCTCACTAGGATCTCATATTGCTCGGATCTTTTTCTGTAGAAATTCTTGAGAGCTGGCTTTAAAGTCATTTCTTCACAAAAGAGCTGTATTTGCAGTTGCAGATCACCTGGGGTCCTACAACACGGCACCACTGTACACTAAAGTTTCCTTGTTCTGTTTTAGCCCAGACAGGTCATGTGACTTCTGAGGATCCAAATCTGCATGAGGATGCACTTGTGATTGAATTCTTAAAGGGAAATATTTTTTTCCCCATTCTACCTAAGGCTAAGGTTCTCTGGAGGGTGGAATTTTTCTAGTTGACTCACTGAGGGAATCACCTTTAGGAGGTTCCAGCACCAAGGAAGGTTCCCTGATCCAACCTTCTCCCTTACATGGGCCCCTCTTTTGTCTCCTGAGCCCAAAGAGGTCCATTACACACAAGCTCTATGTCTTCAGGCACCTGCTAGGTTCTCCAGAACAAATGCCAGCCCCAATGCTTCCTTGCAGTGCTGCATTTGTGTTTTCTCACCATTTCTGGACTTCAAAGTTTTCTCTTATTTTTCTGCCAGCTGAGATGTGCTTGCAAAGATGTTTGTAAATATTTTTCCAGAAATATTTGGTTTTACACAACAATGAATCCACTATATTGCTAGAATCAAAATTGAATCACTTTCTAAAGTGATATTTAAAAGAAATATGCAATCTTAATCCCTTCCCATTTCTCTATCTTTCTAAAATTGATTTTATTAGAAGATGTTTTATACATATCCCAAACTAGTATTGATTGAGGTTGTTTTCAGGCTAATGTTGCTTACTCAAACGGTACATTTTTTGTTTAAAATAAATTAATACAATTACCTGACTTCAAATTATGCTACAGAGCTATAGTAAGCAAAACAGCATGGCACTGGCATAAAAACAGACACATAGACCAATGGAACTAGTACTAGAACTGGGAACCCAGGAACAGATTCACACACCCACAGTGAACTCATATTTGACAAAGGTGCCAAGAACATACATTGGGGAAAGGACAATCTCTTCAATAAATAGTGCTAGGAAAACTGGATACTCATATGCAGAAGAATGAAACTAGGCCACTATCTCCTATGATACACAAAAATCAAATCAAAATTGATTAAAGGCTTAAATCTAAGACCTCAAACTATAAAACCATTACAGGAAAACATCTGGGAAAGCCTCCAGGACATTGATCTGGACAAAAATTTATTGAGCAATACCCCACAAGCACAGGCAACCAAAGCAAAAATCAACAAACAGAATCACATCAAGTTAAAAAGCTTCTGCACAGCAAAGAAAAGAATCAACAAAGTGAAGAGACAACCCACAGAATGGGAGAAAATATTTGAAAGTTATCCATCTGATAAGCAATTAATAACCAGAATATATAAGGAGCTTAAACAGCTCTGTAGGAAAAAAATCTAATAACCTGATTAAAAAATGGGCCAAAGATTTGATAGATATTTCTCAAAAGAAGACATTGCAAATGGCAAACAGGTATATAAAAAGGTATCGACATTACTGATCATCAGAGAAATGTAAATCAAAACTACAATGAGATATCATCTTACCCCAGTTAAAAATGCCTTTTATCCCAAAGACAGGCAATAACCAGTGCTGGAGAGGATGTGGAGAAAAGGGAACCTTCATACACTGTTGGTGGGAATGTAAATTAGTACAACCACTATAAAGAACAGTTTGGAGGTTTCTCAAAAAACTAAAAACAGAACTACCATCAGATCCAGCAATCCCATTGCTGGGTTCACAACCAAAAGAAAGGAAATACTGAAGAGATAATATGCACGTCCATGTTTGTTGCAGCCCTGTTCACAATAGCTAAAATTTGGAAGCAACCTAAGTGTCCATCAACAGACGAATGAATAAAGAAAATGTGATACATATACACAACAGAATACTATTCAGCCATAAAAAAATGAGATCCTGTCATCCACAACAACATGGATGGAACTGGAGATCAGTATAAGTGAAATAAGGCACAGAAAGACAAACATTGCATGTTTTTACTTATTTGTGGGAGCTAAAAATCAAAACAATTGAACTCATGGAGATAGCAGAAGCATGCTTATGAGAGGCTAGGAAGGGTAGTGGGAGGGTAGGGATGGTTAATGGGTACAAAAATATAGTTAGAAAGAATGAATAAGACCTAGTATTTGACGGTACAACAGGGTGACTATAGTCAATAATAATTTAATTATGTATTTAAAAATAACGAGTATCATTGAATTGTTTGTCACACTTGAAGGAGTGGATACCCCATTTTACATGATGTGATTATTGCACATTTGTATGCTTGCATTACAATATTTCATGTATTCCATAAATATACACACCTACTATGTACCCACAAAAACTGAACTGTGTGTGATAGTGATGGTCTCTGAAGGTGAGACGTGAGATGGTAGG